TTGCGCCAGATGCTATCTAGTTGGATGTCCTCTGCGGCTCTTGCACTTCTAGGCCTTGGAGACGGGACGTATCATGGAGGGCGTGTCCTTTGGACACGGAGAGTTGCCAGGAGTCAAGCTGGTTGCATGGCTCCAGTTCTCATTACCGTAGTGACGCTGAGGATGAAGCGAGCATTTGAACCGTCAGCTGAGTCCAAGACGGACCTGCCGACGTCCATCGGGTGGTGAAAGTCCGTCGACCTTCGCAGTGGGAGGCCAAAAGCCTCAGTCCAAGGGAAGCGGGATTATGTTCCTGATTTCGGTCCGGAGCCTTGTTTTCTATCATGTGCTCTTTTTGAGTCACTCATGGTTTTAGTAGAACACAGTTGAAGTTTTCTCACAGGGTTCCAAACAACTGATTGCTTGGAGCCAACTACTGTAGAGTGTATTGCTCTTTGGGCTGGATTATCTGCTTTGGCAGTTGCAGTTATGCTGCAGTTCCATGCCTTTTGCGAGGTCATATTGACTGGAGTCCTTCTGGTTGGTGGCTGCATCCTGCTAGCTCGAGTGGGGCATCCCAGGCAGTGGTCTGCAGGGCGGGTTGCTCAGCGTTGCTGGAGATGGGGAGACAACCTCACGACGGGCGTTTCATCGACGATCTGCCTGCCGGGATTGGATCCTGGTGTGTTTGATGCAGGGAACTGGTCGGAGGAAATCACCGGTGAACATGCAACACTCTCTTCAGGTTCCTTGAGCTGTCGACAGCTCTCCTTTAGTTGGGAAGAACATGTTTGGGGTCTCGCAGCTGCAGATGGAGGTCAAGAGCTTGCGGAAAGGTTCTTGTTTCAGGGAAATCGGCTGCGATGGGCACTGCAAAATTGCGACATGACCCAGAATGAGAGGTGAACGCATGCACCAACACCTTTAGAAGTGCATCGTGTTGCTTTACTTTGACTTTGACTTCGAAGAAACTCCAGCTGTAGAAGTGTGGAGCTTTCTGAAAGGTTTTTCCACCTGTAATTCATGTGTCCTGAGCTTGTCCTGTTCAGCAGGCCTCTAGGCTTGCCCAGGAAGGTTCAAACCCGAACCGATGCCTTCCGTTCTCCCTGAGGTGCACAAATCCTGGCAGCAGGGACTCGTCACGGTCCCCCAGCCCGCCGTCGGTTTGGTGCGGTTGGGCCGGACGACCTGGTCGTGTCGAGGGACGGACGCTTCGGCTGCGGCGGGGCGGGGTTCGTTCGGCACGTGCTCTCAGGCTGGAAGGGAAGCAGAAGCCAAAAGCACTTTCATCCAGGCGAACGGAGGGGACGCGGCACACCGCCGTCAGCACGCGGAAAACGGCCCATACTCCGGACGCGGACGCGGAGTGAGAGAATGGCGAGAGAAGCCGCTGCAGGAAGGTTGTGTGCTCCATTGCTTGGAAGGTTTGGAGAATTGGACAAGCAAGAAGCTAGTAACAAAGGGCATCGCTAGGAACGGAGCAAGGACGCTACGAACCTAGCTCCTGGCCCTACTACTAGTGGCCTTGGATAGAGCGTGATTGGCCCCCACGAAAGGCAGCGGCCGTAGCTTTCGAAGGGATGTTTTGCAAGGTTTGCCACCTACGTCACATGATAGCTTTTTCTTTTCTGACATGAACTTGTCACATCACCTGCGGAGCCTTTGGCCTTGGGCGGGCAGAGGCCACCCCAAAGAGCTGGAGTGGCAGTGCTCGTGCACGGGGTCCCAGTGTCCAGCAGTTCGTCTCAGTAAGGCGGCTTGCCTCTCAGAGTCTTCTCCTTCTCGGCGAAGAAAAGACGGAACAGAACGATGAAACCAGGTTCACCCTCACTGCGGAACCGAAGAACTGGCACGGAAGAGTCGAAGGATAGATACCAGCACGGTGCTGAGTCAAAACAGGAAGGAGAAGCATGGAGGTGGCGCATCCTATCATCCTCAACCAGTTTTTTAAGCCTTGTTACTCCAGATGCGCACCTCATGAGGACCTCTCCTTCCACAGAAGGCCGACGGCACATCCAAGGGGGATTGAAGACGGACCGCCGGTTTTGCGCCTCAACCCGGCTCTCGGGAAGAACCTTCTTCAACGACTCGGACGTCGTCCACACGATAAAAGCGAGCGGTGGTTGGACTCCGCAAAAGACGCCTCGACAACCTACGTGTCTTTTGAGGAGTCAAGACTTCGGAACTCTTTCACCAACGGAGTTTTTGTTTCTTTTTTCATCACCATCTGACTTTGTCACAGGCGAATCGCCATTGGCAGGAAAAAAAACAATCACCATCTGACCCGAGCTTTTTTCTCCGAGGCAGTGCCAAGGGCGCCCAAGCCAGGCATGGATGGTGTGTCTGGCTGATGGGGAGACTGACATGACATCTTTTCCCAAGGTAGCAAAGATGAATCCCAACAACTTATGTGATTGTATATATATTCACTTTTTGCCATTTCGCTGCCGCTCAAAAGCAAGTTGATGCAAGTTGACTCAGTAGATGACGATTAGTGACTAGTCTTTTGTGCAAAAATATCCAAAAGAAGCGTGGAGGTACAAAATAGCAAGATGAAAGCAAGGAGAAGCAATGCAAGAAGGAAAAAATAAGAACAAGCAGCTTGGGGAAGAGACCTAACAACTGAACAACACAAGCACCTGGCAAAAAAAGCCGCCCCCCCTGAGTCTTCCTGACTGGTGAGTCTCTTACCTGGATCTGCCAGAAGCTTCCGATGCCTCGAGCGGCGCTGCCTGGGGGCTTGGACGAAGAGATCCGGAAGATCCGGCGGGGTCGGTTGGACACAGGGTCAGCTGAAACGGATGGGCTTTGTGGGCAGTTTTGCGGGAAGCAAAGGCACGAGAGAGAAGTCTGTGACATGCCGACATGACAAAAAGACCCTAAAACCAGGAGATAGACTTGTCATCTTCGAACTTGTCGCATGTTTTTGATCAGCTCTGAGGCTCGTGCGCGAGAAGAGCCCTTCCGGCGGATTTTGGATCCAGTGAATGCTGATCTGAAGAGCAAAACTTTTGATATCTTTTTGATCAAAACATAGAGATGATTAGACATCAAGAACCCGTGCAAGAACCTGTTAGAGCTTGAAAGTCAGCTGCAATTTTGATGTCATAGGTAAAGATTAATAGCAACAAAATTGCGATCAAACTCTTGGAGTCTCCCAAAAACGCTCGACGCATTTGGCCAAAAGCCTCAAACAATATATATCATTGGTTTCTCACCGTGTTTTTGCTGGGTTTATTGCTTTTATTGTCGTTTCTAGCATTTTTTTTGCTGAGTCCATTGGTGTCTGTGTCTTTCTCGCCACTCTTATCACATTGCTTTGCTTGGACGCCGCCTGGACGCCAGGCTTCCGGTGATGTGCGATGACCTGGTCGTGCCGGATGGCCGTGAGCGGGGCGCCCCAGAGCAGCCACCTGTGCACGCAGAGCCCGGTTTCGCAGAGTCCGCCCGGCACGTCGCTTGCCGCGGGGCCCGCAAGTCGAAGGGGTCGAAGGGGTCGAAGGACACGAAGGTGATTGGCCCTTCTCATGTAGCTTTTGAAGGACACTTGCAGTGATTGGGCCAGATGAGACTGGTGGTGACCGTTTCGCCAAAAAAGCCGGTGGTGACCGTTTCGCCCACCGCCCTACCGGTGACCCGCCGGCAGGTGTGTCCTCTTTTTTCCCAAATTCGAACGACATGAGGCCGGGAGGAAGACGCGCCAGCGAAAACAGAGTTCATTCGATGATTGTTTCCCGCTCGACGCTGTCAGAGCATCATTCATTCCGCTCGGTTCGACGCCTTCGGACGACGAACCCTTTATTTTTTTTTCGTTTTGGAGCAGACACTAGTGGTAGAGCCGTAATGAGCCGTAGGAGATCTCATTGTTTTGTCTAGTCCAGTGGTTTCCAAGTACATCGATCCAAGGACAAAGGCCAAGCCATTAGTGTCTCGCGTCAAGTGAAGTTGCCCATGTTCTATACACAAAATATACACTTGGAATCTGTGCATGTGATCTCCCCAAGAATCACACGCTTTTCATCCGCACCTTTTCTGTTTTGCCCAAGTGGGGCCACTGAACCATGATGGGTTGTTGATACCTTTCTCTGTGAATGTGTAGCTTTTTGGGCATGGTCCGAAGCACGTGTCCTGTCTGTCTATATAGTCATCTTCGCGAATATCAAAGTCTTTCAGAAGCTGGGAATGTCAACAGGTGACATACATTCCTTTTAATGTATATTTTTTTGGGGGAAGGTGTACTTCTCATACTTCCAAACGTCTGTGGAATCGGCTTCTTCGCATTACATGCAGGCGTACACGGACCACGGTCCTTCGAACAGGTTGCCTAGGCGGTTGAAGCTTCACTTCAAGGCAATCTGTTCGGAAACCCACGGTGTTTGAACACTCAGAGCAGCAAGTGGCCGACTCCCGACCCTGGGGTGTCGCTCGCTGGGGAGCGACCGGATGGGAGCGACCGGCCGCGCACGCGCGCGACGTGGCACGGGAGCGCTGTGGCAGATCTCCATCAACGATCATAAAGGTCAGACGGTCCTGATCGCCAGCCGCGGTGAGGAGGACGGGACAGGGGAGGGGAGAGAGAGAGGAAGGGAGAGGGAGAGGAAGGGATGATGAACGACTTGATAGGATTTCCATACCTTCCAGCTTGAGACCTTCCAGATGAGATGCGAGACTGACCTTTGGGATGCATCACGGGGTTTCCCAAACGGGAGGGAACAGAGGGAACCAGCGAGAAGACGTGTTTCACGGAGTCCGACGGAGAAACCGAATGGGAAGGACAATGTGCGACTGATCCTCAAGAGCCTGAACCCCAGAGGGTCTGCATGGCCTGAACAGCTCCGATGGAAGGATCTCGGACAATGGCACTGGTTCCAAAGGCGAGCCATTTTGGGGCAAAGGACAGATGAGGAAGATGTGGTCACTGACCACTGACCATCAGATCTTCCTCGGCCGAGCCGTTCTGTCCATTCCGCCGCCTGTGAACTGCCGAGGTCCCAGCCACGAGGTCTTCGCGACCATCCGCAATGCCAGGTGAGGAAGAAACCTACCAGCTTGGTGGGTGGAACCCTGGTTCGAGTCTGTGGACAGGTGGTACCCCAGGTGACGGGTCCTGTCACTTAAAGCTTTTGTTGGGAGGTGATGCGGTCCGTTCCTCGAAGAGTCTGGCGCCAGACGGACGACCCTGGGCGGAAGTGCCATTCCGCTCTGTGTTTTCCAAAGGGTGGCTTTTGTTGGATCCAGAATTCAAGCATGTTTTTGTTGTTCTGTTCCGAGCTTGGAAGAACCTCTACGTCAGTCCCTAAGTGCACAATATTTTTTTTTTCAACTTGCATCAACCGATTCCCGCTTTGGAGCTTTCCACGGGTTCCTTCCATTTATGAGATGGACCTAGGGTGTGTCCCATTACCGTATAGCCGTCCATAAAAGATGATCACTATTTTTGAGAAAAGGTCATTAGTAGCAGGGACCAGCATATACCGACCAATATAATTAATCCGATCTACCAAAGATGGGGAGAAGAGGACAATAACAAAAGATGGGACCTCGTCGCGGTGGTTCTCTTATTTGTTTTGATGGATAAACCAAAGATGGACGTCGCGTCTGTAGACTTTCACTCCCAAGACTCAGAGCGATCATCTGTCCATGGCTGCAGGGCATCTGGCATGGCTGTGACCTGTCTGCATGGGGTGAGAAGTGAAAGAGACAAGAGGAACGGGATACAAATCAATTCATCAATTTCTACATCAAACAAAACAGATTACTCAAAGACTTTTTGGTTTACCCTGGAAACCACACAAGTTTGATGCTTCACAAATCTGTCTGATGAAACGCAAATCTGTCTGATGCTTCGCAGACGGCCGAGGCTTTAGCCATCCACGGGCCAACGGATAGAGAATTCGGATGCTTGGGCAAGCAAGACGGAGATTCCAGGTTGTTAGTTGTTACCATTCTTTTAAAGGCTTCATAAGGTTTCACTCAAGGGTCTTTGATGCAGAAGATTCAGCATGCTTTGGATTCAGCATGCACATCTGCAAATCAAGTGTTTGCAGGCAAATTAACAAAGTGCTTGGGCATGAGACGCCACGGGACAGGGACAGGTGTCTCGACCGAACGAACGTCGCGTTTCGTTGCTCCGCCGCGGTGCTCCGGCGGAGGGGAACCCCGCTGACCTGGGGTAGACCATGAAAAAGAGAAGTCCCAGTCCCATCTCAAAAGCATGGAGCAGAAAGCAAAGGCCCAGCATTTGGTGGTGTGTACTTTCATCCTCACGTTCGACTCACGTCCCAGTCCGGGGTGAAGGGGGGGCCCCCCCCGTCCGACACTCTCAGAGCTCCGTGCCACGCCGTTCCAAACGGCACTCGCCCCAGGAATGCTCAAGAGCCTCAAGAATGGCGACTACGAGGCGAGCGGCTCGGGCGTTTTGGGATCCTGTCAAGCAAGTGTAGTGTTCGTTCTATGTCGTTTTCTGGGGGATCCTGTGACATAGATTTTTCGGGTGCTTAAGTTGTAAGCTCATGAGCATGTCTCAGTCAGAAACCGTTGCATCTACCTAGCGCTTCCTGCTTGGGTGTCCTGTCTGGTGACATAAGCAGTGTAGGGTGGTCCAGCCAGGTCACCCCTGTCCTTTAAGCAGCTGCTCTCTGTGTTTCGTTCTTCGGTTCCGGCGCACCGACGCCCCGCCGGGTCACCCGACGTCCTGCCGAGTTCTTGGGCTCCGGCCGCTGCATCCGCTTCCAAAGTAGTTCTGGTCGTCTCAATGCCGCTTGGCACCGGATGGGGGCGGTATGGGAATGGTATGGCGCGGGTTCTACGAAGAAAGGGTGGCGTTCTCGGCGTTCTAGTGTGGCGGTTGATCGGTTCTCCCACACCGTGTGGCGTGGTGTTCACGAAGACGGGACTTCTGGGTTTTCACGAAAACCGTGTTGCTTTCTTTTGGTTCACTAATCGGAGCCTTCGGACGCGAACCGAATGGAGCGTTCGGACGGGCATCGCGAACCGAACGGTGCGTCCTCCCGGTGTTCGTTTTCGACCGACCGATGACGACCTCGTACGTGGAGGACACGGAACGCAAGGACATCGATCGTGTCGTTGAAAGAAGACGGAGATATGGAGAAGATCAACAAGAAGAAGAAGATGATGATGATGATGAAGAAGATGATGATGACCAGAAAAGAGACCATCAACTTTGCCTCCCCCGTTCACGGTTTTCGACCGTTGCACGACCTTCGTCCAGGTCGTGGACGAAGACACTCGGCTCATGGCTCTCTGCGAGTCCGAGAAAGGCCAGACGAGCGACGTCGACCGTGGCCGTGGGGGGCGAAACTGGGCGACCCAACGCACTGGACGAGCAGCGGAACAGACATGTGGAACACCGATGCGGAAGGCGTCGTGAGGTCTCCTCGTGATGTCTCCGGTATTCTCTTTTTGGATCGGTTTGAATCAGGTTTCGCTGAGATCTGTGTGATGATTTTGTGGAACTTAGCGGAACGCCGTATTCAATCAATCCAGCGGGAACAGTGGTTGAGCATCAGGTTCACCTGCGACTGCTGACACACTCCAACCACCACGTGCAATGAGTGTATTTTGAGATATTTAAACTTACATTCAGGGGTAGGGGTTGCGTGGGTGGCAAGAAAGCTCAACTTATGCTGACTCTGTTCAGATAAGTAGGAGTAGACAACATAGGCTATCATAGGCTTGATTCAGGATGGTATAACATATGCCAGGCACGTGCATGCATTTAGGACTTTGTTCAGTCCACAGGGTGCCCAGGGTGCCACGAGCGTACACCTGCTTTTCGCCAGGAACACGGCAGATCAGGCCAGATGCTGGCAGGGAGACGGCTCAAATTGTTTTGCTCGTCGTTGTTTGCAGGACAATTTGGACATTTGAGGACTACTTACTACTCCAACTTACTACATGTCTCACGGGCTGCGACACCATGACCTCAACCTTCAAGGTCCTGGAAATGCTGTCTTCTTAGATGTTGAAAACCGTAGTTGGCACCTGCCCAGCTGCAGATTCGGCATGCACAGTGCCTTCGTTGTTCCCTGTAGGGCGATCGATTTCGATCCCCTTTGTGTGTGAAGCAAACAGGACACAACAAGACCACGCCTACCACGGTGAACCACGCGGTCCTCTCACCAAAACCATCTCTTCTGTTCCCTTTTCTTGACCCCGACCGTGGTCCTTCGTGGTCCTTCTGCCGACCTTCAGCACCATCTCCGGCGCCAACCGGACCGGAGCACCGTCTCCGGTCCAGGATCGGTCCGCGGGTGGATGTGGGCCTCGTGATCGCCGCCATTTTAGGCGCTCCAACGATCGGGGTCCCCGCGGCCAGACATCGGGGCGGTTCGGGGTGCGCATGGGCATGGAGGGTGGTTGGGGGGAGTGAAGGAGTTGGTTTGGTCCGTTCCTTTTCTATGAATTCTTTATTTGCTCTGATCACCCTATCGTGTCGTCCGACATTGGATTCGTTCTGAGTCGTTCTTTTTCTTTTTTTGGTTTTTCATGTTTGTCTTCTCTCTTTCAGATGCCGAACCCGAGACGACGCGCAGACCAACCCGGTTTGGGCCGCGGCCAAGGGCGTCGGTAGTCCGGGTCAGTCGGTTGGGACGTCTTGCTGATCGAAGAGTCGGGAGAAGGAGATCAGTCAACCAGGTGGTCTCTTTCTGTGTCAAGGCCGGTTCTATTTGTCTTTGGGAGAGCGTCTCATGGCCAGAAACTCGACGCCAGAAACGCCAGGCACCGAGCTTCTCGAGAAGGACTTCAAGTGAGCCCCGATGAATCTGATGGCCGGCTTGGCCGGAGATCGTCCTCGCTGTGAAATAGTCACCTGAAACAGTGCTTGCGCGGCTGGTGTTCCCCCAGTTCCCACAACAAAGCCGAAACCGTGCGAAGCATGTGGTCTGCAGAGCTGAATTTGGTTCGACATTGGACATTGTTACACAAGCGCCAGAACTGATAAAAGAGTGGGGCACTGGGGCCGCTGGGGCAGCGGCTGGTTGTGGAGAAGTACAAAACAATTAGCTTCTCAATCCACTCAGCCAGAACGCGTGACATCTTTCTTCCAAGTCGCCAGTTCTTCTTCAGTGTCTACTATTAGTGAAAGGTATCGAGGCCAAAGCACATCAGCTGCCAACAGCTCATACAACTACTTGGTCTATTTTCTCCATTTCGCTTTTGCATCCCTTCTTCTGCACCACGCGGACCACGCGTCTTGCACGCGTTCTGCCTTCCCTTTTCGGTTCGCCGAATGGGCCTTCCGTCAGGTGCCGACGGCGAGAACCTTTTGCCCCAGCTGGGCGACGCGCACGAGAGCATCCGCTACATGGGTGGCTGGCTCGGACGATGAGGGTCCGACCCTGCGACCCGGACGACCGGTTCTGCACGGGACAGGTGAACGAGGACAAGAGGAAGGACGCGTGCTCTTTCTGGATTGGGTCCAACTGTCGGGGGTGGCTTCTGTTCTATTTTTTCCGATTGTTCCCCCATCCCATTGGCTAATTTTCAAAACCTAAAAACCTGTAATTGTTGAACATTTTCCACCATCCCATTTGTTCCTTTTTTTCCATCCCATTGGTCTTGGGGGTGGGATGTTTATCCGAGCGGTTTTTCACGACCGATGTGCTGAACGACCAAAACCCAGGTGGCGCGCGCTTTCATGGGGACGCCGGCGGCGCTGAATGGGGGCCACGGAGCACGGAGCGGGAAAGACGGGGAGAGACGGTTGGCGGGTGATGGGGAGGAAAGCGATTCTGAACAGACGTGCTGTGCTCTGGTCTGTTCTTGCTGCTTTATAATTGTGTTGGATCGTTCTGTTGGGAGGTTTGAAGGTTAAAGAAAGGTCTGAGTCATTTTCGGATGATCACCAGATTGACTTGTGCACAGACTTCCTTCTGCCGCAGACTGGTCAGACTGGTTTGCATCAATCAGTGGGTTTTTCGCGGCGGCGGAGATCTTCAGGCCCTTTGGGCGAAGCTATTGGATGCTGCCACGTGCCGTCCGGGCGGCCCAGCTGGGCTGGCAGCATGCTGAGATCGACGGACGCATGTCCTGCAGTCCTCTAGTCCTCGCAACTCGTTTCTACAGAAGATGTCCGGTGTTTCGGGACTTTCCGGTGAAGCTCAATATTACATCAGATTACCGTAATATTACCTGAACTCCTGGACATTGATGACAGATGGAGATCATCATTGGACACCTGGTTGCCATGTTCCAGAACTCACCACCAAACATAACTTGCAGTTCTTTCATCCCTCAATGGCTTAGTAGTAATGAAATCCCCATCGTCTCAGAGTATGCCACGGTGGTGCGTCCAGATCCAACGAGAGGAACAAGGTCGTTGATATATCTGAAGTGAAGAAACTGGCCTGTTAGCTGGAAACCAGCTGAACAGCTGAGGAAATTGCGGTGCAGCCGCTGGTGAGTGCCGGGCACTTGATTGGCACAAGCGAGGAACTGGCCGAAACATGCTGCCAAGTGGAAAACACGGTCTTTCCATCAACACCCGGAGCCCAACAGTTTACCACCACACACGCCTTTCGCCGGGAACGCACCACCCCCCTCTTGCTCATCCACCCCCTGGTTCCTGCACCCGGAGGCTCCCAGTGGAGGTTCGACGGAGGGAAGTGAGGCGTTGGGGTCGGGTGAGGCGATGGTCCTTGGCTCGGCTCAAAGGGAACCGGAGATGACGGAGATGCTAACCCTCAGAGATTGGGTCCTAGCAAACATGGGTTGGGAGGTGAAGTTGCAGGGTGAGGCTGCGCTCATGGCCAAGATTTAGGATAGCAAGATAGAAATTCAGCACCTTCGACTTACAAGGACCTGAACATCAGGCTGGGTTCAGCATACACGGCATATCTCTGGGAGTGTAATGGAGTGTATGACCATGTTTGTTTCCTCCTCCCTACCACCCCAGTCCTTACCACTCCAGTTTCATCGTTGTCTTGACTGGAACATTTCACGAAGAGCGTGCACAAGCTCACGCTGCTGCCATATGTGCAGGCCTCGAGCACTCCTGGCACACCTGCAGCTGGGATGCAGCAGGCGGAAGGCCAATGCACAGACATCGAGCACTGTATGGTCTCGGTTTTCTTTGGTGGAAGAGATTCTGTGTTCAATTCAAGGATCTTTCTTCCTGCTTCTGAGCCGGGATTTCATGTTTTGGTTACCTGGTTCCTTCGTGCCTCTCTTGGGAAGCTCCGGAACCCGAAACTTTGGAGGCCGCCTGCTTCAGCGTGCCGTGCCCCGACGACGGTGGGTGTCTTTGGGGTGCTGGCACTCGGCGGGTCTGCAGTTCTTGTTCTTGGCAGGAGAATCCCATGCTTGTTTTCTATGCTTTTCTCGGTTTTGCTCCCACTCAGGAAGCATTTTAATATCATTGATATTCATTGATCAAAACAGGTTCCAGCGAAAGCTCTGCTGTAATCAGTTGGCACTTTTCGTGCCCAACAGACGTTCCTAGAAGGAGTGACATGGGCGTGTACTTGAATAGAGAGACCATGGAAGACCTGCCAGTTCAACCTCCTGGAAGAAGGGGAATAGACCAGTTGGGTCCCCCCACATGTTGTGCCAGGTCCTTTGGTTGCTGAGCAGTCGGCGTCAGGTACTCGCTCTGCAGTTGCGCTGGCGCGAGGAGAGGGCCTAAGAAAGTTCTTATGGACGTCATGGGAGACGATTTGGGGCAAGGACATCAGACATCAGACATCGCCCAACAGACAGAGAAAAACATAAAGTATCAGCTACAGCTATTGATGCTATTGGAAGCACCGCCGAATTATCATGGCCGTGCTTGTTGTGGCTTTTTGCCTCTGTAATCTCCACCCCTGTCCCCTTTCGACCGGAACGAACTGACGTCTCCCAGGACGAGGAGGAGTTGGGATCCTTGGCGCGGACCGGTCGTTCGTCTTCGATCGAGCGGCGGCCAGACGCCTTCGCCTTCGTTGTGGCCAAACACCATTGGAGGTGGTTTCATTGGACGACCACCGAGGCATAGCTACGAGGCTGAGCGAGAACGGGCCACAGAGGCGGGGGAGAGGTGTGAGTGAGTGAAAACTCACTGCGTTGAATGGTGAACGGTGGATTCCAAGGTGAGCAATCAGGGGAAGTAGAGTGAACACTGAACACCAACACGTATTTCAATCCAGTTGGGCAACAGCTGAAGAAGTGACCCCCCCTGGTTTGCAAATCACCAGTTGTGGTACTTGTAGCAACTCCTTCCTTCTTTTCTGCTCTACAATTCTTCAGAGCCGAGCCATTTGTTTTTGCCTCATTTGATTGTGCTGGTCGTGGAAAAGCCTGCTCAGCTCGTTGAAGCTTGGCATCAACTGCTTCAGCTCAGGCCCTACGTTTACTCCGTGTGCCGCCAGCCAGTGTCCGCCAACGACGCGCTGCCAGCGTCTGAGACGTATGTTCTTTTGAGGACACCAGGACACTGACGTACAGCCATCGCTGCATCTCTTGGAGGCTTCGGTGTTCAAGAATATTTTGTTGAGGAATCGTCTCATTCTCTTCACCTTCAAGATCCTTCCAGCACCAAAGTTCAGAAAAAATCGATCAACGTCCAAGTGGAGGCCAAGCTGCAGGGGGTGGAGACCCGCGAAAGCCGAGGTCGTGGCGGCCAGAAGAGACACGGTGCCGCGGGAGGAGTTCGAGGCGCAACACGAAGGGGTGGATATGGAGACACTCAGCCTTGGGGTGACGACTGGTCTGTTCGAACCTCCCTGGAGGTTGAACAAGGGGGTGTCTATCTGAGTCTATCTGAGTCTATCTCCCTATTTGAGCTACATGGTCCTAGTGAAAAGACGACTCCGGAGGTCGGACGCTGGAGCTCTCTGTAGGTCCGGTGGCCGATCCTTCGACCTTTTTTCGCTCCACGCGGTTCGGGCTGCGCAGGCGCGTGTGCGAGAGGCACTCGACGCCTTTGCACAGAAGTCTTTGAGCAAGGTGCGGATCTGGAAGTTGAGAAAGACTTCTGGAGGATGTTTTTGGCACACCAGAAAGATCATCCAGAACTATTACTGAAAGCTTGGCACTCTGTGATCCAGAAAGGTTCTTTTTTGTAATTAAGGTTTCTGGTGTAACGAAAAACCAGAAACTCCTTGACCGAATGAAAAGAGCCCAGGTGGTCCTCGCACGTCGGATGCTCTTGGAGCTTCTATGGCGTGAGGCGAGGCTTCCGTGTCTCGTTTTTGGAAGGGCCGTGTTCTCTTCGAGGGGTGGAATCCGTCGGATGGCGATTCCAACCCGTCGGATGGCTGAAAATCGGAGATGAAAGCAGCTCAGAAGGATCTCCACTCAGAAGGATCGTGCACTTCTAGAGGAACCGCGCATCGAAATCGTGCTCTGTTGAAGACAATGGTCTGTAAACTGCTAAGTTGTTGACCAATGCTTGAAACTCTTGAAGGCTCGCTCGCTTCGGACTTTGGAGTGATCTTGGATTGAATTGTGTCCAAGCCAAGTACTTCCATGTAGAGACACGTATGACTTCCAAACCCCAAAGACTTCACAAGCAGCGAGCAGCGAGCGGTGCCCAAAGACTCCACCGGGTTGGCAAAGAAGGCGGTTGGCAAAGTGGAGTCACGATTCAAATTGAGCGATTGAAGAAGGGTCGGGTCAGGGTGCTTTTCCCCGAAGAAGCCAGAACTCTTCCGTTGGTTCTCTGACGGCTCTTCATCGGGAATGGATGCTTTCCGCTCCCACACGGCATTTTCCCCAGGACGCGCCGGAGCTCATGCGACAGGCGAAATCGTCCGGTGCTTTTTCGAGAGTTTCTGCCGCGGAAGTGACTTCCTTCGCCGCGGAGGCTCACATATTGCAGGGGATCCCATGCTTTTTCATGACAAGCTGGAAAGCCAAACAACAGAAATGGATACAAATGGCTGTTCCAATCTGGGATCTCAAGATCCTTTACGAGCAAAGAAGAGCAAAGCAAGTGCTTGGGACTGATCTAGATCCATTTCTTCGCTTCGGAATGCCTTTCGATGAGCATACCGGTCACCAACCGCTGGCACCGCCGCCGTCTTCGGTTCCCAGCGGTTGCATTCGTCAGGTCCTTCGCGTCGCCGGGTCGTCGCGTGGTTGTTTGGCATTCGTTGCCTTGGTTTTTCGTGGTGGGTTCGAACACAAAAGCAGGCGCACGATTGGAAGCATGTAGAAAAGCATGTCGTCATCATGCGCAGCATGTCGTTAGGGTGAAGCATGTGTTGTTCTCCACCCGGTCACAACCGTCGCTTTTGCCCCCAACAAATCTCCCTTGGACCGCCACGCCATGTGGGCATTATGGGACTCTCAGGACCGTCGCTGAAAAACCGCTCGTCGCGTTGCTTCTTCGCCGAGAGGTGATTTTGACGAGTGCATGTGGGGGTTTAGCTGCGCAAGAAATTATGTGATGATACGGGTCATCCCTGGTACTTCTTGAAATGCGCGAGTTGATGCAAGGTGATAGGCAAAGCTCGATGAAACTGCGCAAGTTGTACGCATGTGACTGTGCTCTATCGTCCTTTTTTGAATGCATAGGTTCACTTATCCCTCGCCTGAGTGAATCCATTTTTCAGGAGGAGATGCCACCGCCACCTCCGCGTTCCTCAATCTTTGCGGCCTAGCTGTGCTTAAGTATTTGGCTGAAGAAGCCTGAAGACTCTTGGGGAAGAGACATTCGTGGGGTTTTGCCTTGTGCAATGCTGAAGAAGGAGGAACATGTTGCGTGACGATGCAACATGCCTTGTTTCCTGCAGAAAGGGCTTTTCATCGGTCTGAGGTGATGCGGAACGGGCGCTATGAACCGCAGAATCTCATGCCGGTTTGGTGCCCGAGATGGACCGCCGCTTCACCGACTGACGATGTGCTGGTTAGGTCATGACACTGTGGGGAGACCGACTACACCAAAAATGAACGCGGCATGAAATGTACCGGCCTTTCTCACTTGGTATCCATGTTATATATTATTCTGTGCTAAGCATTTGTATACGGTAAATAAGCCAACCTGATTTGGACGCCTACTCCTCGCTGGTTGGCAATTTGATGCTATTCGCTTGACATGGAAGGTGAAGATAAACAGCTGCAAGAAGAAGGTCACCATTTCTACACCTTCACAATCATGTTCTGCTTTGAGCATCTTTGAGCTAGGCTGAATGCTTCAGTTCTTGGAAGAATCACTGGATTTGGTTCGTCCACCAAAAAACAGAAAACCACCAGAATATGGGCGACATGCACTGCCCGGCGGTTTTCGTCAAGTGACCAAAGCGTTTATTTGGGTCTCACAAACTTCTGGACTACTCCCCGGATCATTTTTGGATTGGAATCCCACAGGGGAGAGGCCTGAAAACGCTCACAATTCCTTTCCTCTCGGAGTCTTTCTCCAATCCGATCTCCACACGAGTCAACACACCTGGCTCCCGCTTCCCGAACCGCGTTCCGGGACCGAGGTGATGCCGCGGCCCGATGTCCTGGACTTCGATGGCTTCGTGCTGCGCCGCGCGGCCAACCGTCCGGAGCCGAGCCGAAGAGTGGGACAGGGGAGGGGAGGGGTAGGCAGGGAGGTGCAAAAGGCGGCGGAAGGCGTTTGGGCTTTGGAACGGAAAAGAGAGATGATGTCCAAGATCTGAACTTCGATCTGACATCATGAATTCAGTCGACAACGCGATGCACAATCGCGGGGGGCCCAAACACTCCCAGATGCCGTGCTTGGGCGCGCCGCGATGGGCCCATCCTCGTCCGTGACGTCAACGATGTCCGAACGCCTTCGAGTCAGACGTCGATTGCTTGGCAGGTGCGCCGGTGAGGCCGCCGGACTTGCGACAGGTGGGACTTGCGACTGGCAGGATGGGTCTTTTGGGTCCCCAAACCTGGGTGAAAGCGGGAGTTTGAACCGCCGAAGCCGGAGACTCAGGGTGAAAGATGGAAGGCGCGGTAGTGATTTCGATCAATAGCGAGGTACTCTGACCAACCGTGCGACGTCTTCGTTCAACGAGAGGTCTTCGCCTTCACCGAACGCCGAACGCTCGCTGCGCCGCCGTCTTTCGCGCGTTTCGCGAGGCCTCTCTGGTGAAAAGCTCCGTGAGCCTTCGGAAAGCCACAGTGCAGGTGGGTAGCCTCCGAACGTGGAACGTGGAGGGCACCTGGCGGTCTTTCCATGTTTCTTCACAAGGACTTAAGGGGAGTACCAAAAAACAGAAGATTGGAGGGGCGTTATGTTTTTCTCATCGATTCGTCTAACGCATCCCGTGGCCGCTGTGCGGAGAAAGAAGGGTGTGGAATAAAACCCTTCACACCGAAATCTTGGGTTTGTTTCAGATGGGTAGGAGGACCAGGAAGTTTTTGTCCGGTCTGTCTTTGTGTGCTTTGCTACGGATGGACATACACAGTGCTGCGAGCTTCAATGATGTCAACGTGGCTGGACAGTCAGTGCTGGCAGAAGCACGGTTCCTGACATGTCCAGGTGCTTTGAACATCCGTTTCCACTACCCAACCTAAAGGTATTTTACTCTGGGGCTTGAACCTGATGAACTGTCTTTGGTGATTTTGTCATGGCCCAATCACAGGTCGAGCCATGACCAACTGCGGGCTTGATGCAACAGAAAGCCATGAAAGGTGACCCCACATCTGGAGAAAATAAGAACTGAGTCCGCACATTTGGTGTTCTTCAACATCAGTTCAACATCAGTCAGATTCCATTCACTCCCTCACATAAAGCTCCTCGTTTTGTCGGAGGCCAGACCTGCGGTGCCACTTGAGCTGCAGATCGTCGGTAGGAGCTGGAATGTTTGTGTGGAGTCTCTGGGGCGAACAAAGACTTTAAGGAACCTAATAGCGATGGCCTCCAACCTACTGGGAGTCTTTTGGGCGCATTTCTTGGACATTCACAGGATTGACGGCTCTCAGAGGGTCTGACGGCTCGAAATCGCTCGCCAGACATGCAAAAAGATGGATTATATTGGATTCCGAGAAAAAGAACAGAGAATGAAGTTATATGTAGAGGTTCAAAACACATGGAACGATCCCCGAGACCGGTTTCTGACATGAGGCCATTGAGTATGAACGATACATCAATTACCACACCAACTCAAGAATGCACACCATCAGGTTCGCAACAAAACCGAGACGATGTTCGTCCCGAGAAACCCTTTTGGTAGATCGATCTCCTCAGTCCCCGCGTCTTCGATCTTCGCGGCTTCTCGCGCCTTCGTCTTCGACGCCTAGAGGTCCAGCTCTCCGTGTGGCGGCGAAGGACCGTTTGACGACGGTAAGACCCTGGTGACGTAAGACCCGGCGTCGAAGAAGCCACCGTTATTTTTTTGGGGAAACACCTGCGCAGTGTGCGTCCGGATGGAGAAGCTGGGTGACCATCCTGGCACCTGTGGAAGGTGCCAGTGGGTCGTTGTGATTGGGAACAGGCACATGGGGAGCAAGGCAAGGAAGTGAAGAACACCCCCACCGCCCACCAGAAGAACACCCCACCGATCACCACGCTACGAAGGGATCGCGTGAATCATTATAGAACCTCCTTTGTTTGCGGGGCGCAGTACCTCGAAAACTAGATGTGGTGTGGGCAAGTCCATGAAACATGTTTCCCCCCCAAGAACATATTCTGAATTGCTCTGAAATCGATATCCGCTAGAGCCCGCAAACACCTGCAAAGCCACTCGCACTGCAGGACCCATTGTCATCACTTTCGTGTACGATGCCTTACGAGCGGGACAGCTGTCAAGCTGGACATGTTTGGAGGATCACGCAGATGTTTGAATCGCCAAAAAGTAGACACCCGTCGGGGGAAGCTGTTCCGAGGGTGCAGATTGAGTAGAATTTGACCAACAGAAGCAGGGCATTGGACATGCTGATTCTGGGTGAATCTCCAATCAACACTAAGCTTGATTTCAGCATCGTACAGGGAAGGAACTGGAACTGGGTTTTCTTCACGAAAACCAGTGATGTGCACGACAGGTCCTTGTACCTCCGAGTGACAGAGGCCAAGAGGGAAAGACCGTAGTGATGGACAGGTCTGGGAGAGGATCACGACGGAGAAGGTGGATTCAGCATCAGCTAGAAGATGATCAACTTGTTTTTTGAACTGTTGTGGATTTAATCGACATGGTGAAAACGAAGGGCCCAAATACTGCAAGTCCTCTTGGACGGAGTTGTTCCTGTACCTGGATCCTCCAACGCTGAAGAATTTCTGCCCTTTTCATCTTAAAAGCCAGCCAAAAGGCGGAACTTTTGCACAGTTGGAAGCTCCGCCTCGGAACAACTTCCCCAAACAGTGTGGTAGTTAAGGCCGGGGGTGTGATCGAGGTGCTCTCTCGGCGTGTCCAGCATTGTCCAGCTAATTCGCTGCTATTTACGACCTCGAAGGCCTGGAAGTGAATTTCGACCGCGCAGGCTCGCAGAAACTGGTGGGCGCGAGCGGGTGCTTTCCGCGACTGCGCTCTCGTTGTGGCGCTGTGCGCAATTTCGGACTTGGTGGTCACTTTTTGTGGCGGGCGCAAGGGTTTGTGGTCCAAAGTCGACTTTTCATGGCAGGTGCAGGAGGTCGGGGCGATGGTTTTTCGATGTCCAGATTTCGTGGCAGGCGCGGTGCTTTGGACATGGCGGTGATCTGCGGCGCTCTCTAAACTCGTGGTCGGTGCAGTGAATCGTGCCTTGGGACACGTGGCTCGTTTTCAGAAATCGGAAGAAGTCTCGAGCCAAGACTGCACTTGGCACTTTCATAGTATAATTGTCATTAAGTGCTCTGGCTGCGAAGCGCCTTGGCAGGGCTGCACGATGGCATTCGTGATGTGAAGATTTCGTGGCAGGCGCAGCATTTTGTGAACCTCGAAGTGCAGATTTCGTGGCAGCCGCAACGCTTTGTGAACCTCGGAGTGCAGATTTCGTGGCAGGCACAAGCTTTGCAAGGTTTTCTAGCCCCTTTCTGAGGGGTATAGTGAACAAGAGGTTTGCAAGAACACGGGTTCGGGTACAAGTCACAATAGAGGGTGCCTTTTCCTGAGGGGTAGGCTTTGCAAGAACGTGGGTACAGAGGCAAATCACAATAGAGGGTGCCTTATCCTTATCGCTTTAGAGGTGGAACTGTAGAACTACCAGATGATGTTTAATTAGCTGTTGCCTGCAGAAGGAGGGCTTTGGTTGGAGGATGTGGGTAAGCCTGACCGAGACCAGACCAGCACCTCAACGCGTTCTTGGTCCCTCCGTTTGTTCTGCATGGCTCTTCTGGACGCTGGGCTGACATGATTCTGCTTCGTCCCCCCTTTTCTCTTCCATAGCTTCGTCCCCCTTTGTCGTTTTGCGTTGCCCCCTCTTGTCTCTCTTTGTCGCCCGTGGTCTTTTTTGGATGCTCTGAAATGATTCTGATTGCTTCCCTCTACCTCGCAGAGCCCGATGATTCTACTTTGTCTCCATTTGTCTCTCATGGTTCTCCTCCGTTTGTCTCCGTTGATCTCCCGTGGCTCTTGTGGCTGCTGGGGTAACATGTCTGCTTTGTTTCCCGTTGCCTCCTTATAGTTTCCCATGCTTCAAAAACCTAGTGGCTCAAATTGTCAGGATTCGTGGAAGAAACATCAGCCTGCCGCTGTTGTTTGGGGTCGATTGTTTGCCTTGCGGTCTTTGCAGCCGAATTCTCGAATTCGCCTCGGTTCGGCCCCTCAGGTGGAACACAATGAGACCGAGTGGCAGACTCTGTGCAGGGTTTTTGGGCGTGGCTTGAAGGTGGGTGGTGTATAACCCTATGGTGTGGAACCACGCCGTTTTAGCAGTGTGGCACCACTCACTGCTCCCCGATGTCTTTAGCATATGAAACGGCTTTGCAACGTTTAGTTCCGCATCTCAGTTTCGAAGAGCAGTGAAGCAAATCAGCATTGAACTCATCCCCCACTGATTCCTTTCCACAATCTTATCACGGCAATCATTGTACCAACATGTGTACCCCGAGTTTTGCAGAAGCCAATCTTGTTTGCCAGTGGTGTCGATGATGCGAAACGTGCTGCAAGAAGTATTGTGTGAAACAGGGGCGTTTCTATTGGAAGGAGCAACACGAACACCCGAAAACATCATGTTCACAGCGTGATGTTTTGAAGTGTTTGGAGTCTGGCCTCTCCTGCTCTCAGTTGGGTGTTCTGAGGCCTGGCGGCCCTGTAAGGAGACGTGTGGAGTGGGAAGCTCAGTGCCCAAAAGCATGGCACAACAAACACATCGACGACATGGCGTTTCGATTCGATCTGTTTCTTTGCCGGGACCTCTTTGGGATCCAGAGGTTCGGTTTTTTTCAGTTGCGACCGTTGGAACGTTTCAAGACCCTCTAACCCCGCGACCGACTGACGGGCGTCGCTGTCTCCGGAGGCTGGTCCAGCCGCTGGCGCCGCTGGGGGGCTCGGTTTCGGAACACGAGAGGGAGCGGAAGAGAGTTGGCGTGAATGTTTTCGCTTCAAAGAGGAGGTTTCTTCCTGTTTTTGTTTTGAGGAACCTCATGGAGCGTTGGGACCAAAGGGTGGATCATTTGGGACGGTCGAAACATCATTTGCTTGATGTTGTCTCCCTTGATCCAAACGAACTTCAGATCCCCCCAAAAGGATAGTAGACTTGGGCGAGCCGAGCTTGCAGGAGAGAGACAGTTTGGTCTGACCGAGCCGGTTTTCAGGTCCAATAAAGGAGTCAACTTCTCCATGTGGCGCAGTTTGCTCTTAGGTTGGAGGCCATTGCTGTTACAGTAGAAACAAAGAAAAAGAAGAGGAAGACAGGTCTAATATAGTTTGCTCTTGGAGGCTAGACGAACAGCCCAGCTGCCGTCCTTTTCTGTGTACGGAGCGAAGCGAGTTGAGCCGAACTGGCCCAGGTCTGCAGTGTCAGCCGGCAGTGGCGATCAGCTACTTGGCATTGCAAGTTCCCTGCGTGGAGACTCGATGAGACTCGATGAGAAGAGGAGGGAATTAGACAGATCTCTGGAGGGGTCGTGAAAATCATGAAATAGAAAGGTGATCTTTGCATCATCCACCCTGTGTTTGATGCAGGCTTGTGCTCGCAACATGACCGCCCTGAGGAGTGGCCAGGTCACCGCGGTGCCGCTGCACGAGATCCATTTCGAGAAGGGTTTGGGACAGGCCAGGCGGACAGCCGGCACAGGCCAATTGAGAAGCTCTGGAGAAGCGTCAGTGGGATGTTTTCTTCAAGCTGTCACAGGATTGAAGGTTCTTGAATCTCCTTTTGAATAGAAACGAGAACCGCCGGCCTCTGCTCTTGCCACTTTGGCTCTGAGATCGGCTCATCCAGACTTGCCGAGAGAGGGCTGCAGGAGTCATGTCGCACAACGTTTCAAGCACATCAACTCATGCCAATCAGGTCCAATCAGGTTTTCAAGCACATTCCAAGCATTTCGGGGGCGGATCCACTTTTTCAGCTCTCGGAATCTCCTCCCGCTCGGTGGTTCCACGGCTCTCGGGCTTCTGTGAACACGCTGCTTCTGCTTGCGCACAGAACATCTCGAGCAAGAGCTCGCATGGAGAACTGGATGCTCGGATCGGTTTCAACGCTCGGTGCGGCACGGCCGAACAGGCTTTGTGCGCTTTGACGTGCCACTTCATGTGAGTTGTTGTTCGAAGATGGAGACCGTGACCCTTTAGACAAGAAGAACCTTTTGGACGACTTTCTGGTGACTTTGCTTGGATGATGTAGGTCCTTCTCCTTTTCTTCAGACGAATGTGTGTCATAGCATTGTGTTGAGATTCCTGCTGCGCCCATGGGGCATGTATGGACAGTGTAGCAAAAGGTTAGAGCTTGAAGGAAACACGGGGTTAGACCTGGGTTGGGGCTGATGCTGTGAAACTACAGGTTGTCAGCGGTAGTCTGAAAGCTATGGACAATAGCGGGGACGATGACATGACCAATGGTTATGGCAATGGGTCTGACAATAGTACCCAGTCAACCGGGCGGTGAGGAAGCATTGGTAAGACACCAAGACGCGATGTCAGAGGTACAATAACAAACTTTGTCTGGATTACCTCCTCGCTGTTTCCCAGGCATACCTGGAGATGTTAGCGAGTGGTGGAGCTATCCCTATTCAGGAGGCTGCACAGGCTGCCACAACGGGCATGCCACCTGCTGCCGTAACGGGCATGCCGTGAACCGTCAGTATAAAGCCACTACCAATCAGGTCAACATGGCACCTGGAACCAACGAAGCGCTTCTGCGACGGGAGCTTCAGCAGCACGCTAGACAGCTCAGAGAGCATGCTTGGCAAGAGGCACAGATGGAAGCACTTCAGTGCCTCGACTTCCACTGCGCAAAGCAAGTACTGAAGATGCTGTACTCAGAATTAGGTGAGAAGCCGAGGAACACGTCGATACCGAGGACAATGCAGCCATACGCTGTCTATGCGGAGCGGACAGAAAACGTACTTCCAGACAAGATTGCGACAAGTGCAAGATGAACTTGAAGCAGCAATCTCTGAAAGGAACAAGGAAGCCGCCAATTGCGAAAGTGGTGCGTTGTATGTGGAGCAGCTGAAATCTACATTTCGCCGTGAAATTGCCCAACGAGAAAGATATCAGGCACCTATGGCCACTGTCAGCGAGTCAAGGGCAGCTTGTGCAGAGGAGGCTGCAAAAGTTGTAGAAGTGGAAGTGTCCACAGGGAGCTCGAACTGTCAGGCGACGAAGCTTCAGTAACATGGCCCAGGCCAAGACAGGATTGTCCCAACTCTGCCAAGCTTTCCTTAGCTGGAATGGCGTCATGCGATCGATGTGGGACGGTATTCCAGAATGCTAGCGCAAAGCAAGGTGGAGTGTCCAAATATATCAGAATGCGCGCGTGGCACACGCCAAGGCGATCAAGGACAAGGGGGGCGCCACTAGGCAAGGCATAAAGCAGGCATGCTTGGCAGCATTGCCGGGAGCGATATGACCCCTGGAACCGCGCTCGGTCGGTGTAATGTCATGGTATGGGCAATTGATTCAGCAAGCGCCCGCAAGATTACGACGTTCATTGAAGAAAGGGTGGCAAAACATTTACGACCGTTTCTGCAGAGATGGCGAATTCGCCGTCTGGCGCGCCAATGAAGGTCTCACCGCCTTTTTTGCAGCGCAGGATGATATGTTTGCATCACTGCAACTACCAACGCCATCCAGGTCAGCAAGGAAGAGAGCAATACTTCATTCTGTTCTTCAGGCAACGACAATAACAACGAGATCTTGCCAAGATCAAATGCGTACGGTGCGGTGTTGACCATGTTTCAAAGCAGGATTGAAGGCGAAATTCCTTGTGAGTTACAGACATTTGCGGCCAAAATTGGCAAGGCCGCGATTCAAGTCCTGTTCAAGGCGTTATTCCCACAACCAACGTGGCCGGCGACATTCATAGATTGCGCCTCACAATTGGGCCACGAGAAACCACGCAGTACAGCAACATCAAATGAATTCACAAAAGCAAGCGTGTGGCAAACGGCTGGGAGAGCTCCAAGTCAGGACTAGAGCAGAGGATGGCGGAACCGCCGCCCAGAGGAATCTACAGAAGAAGAAATTCGTAGACCCGCCCGTAGGGAGAAAGCAAGGATACAAGGGGCGAGGAATGGGTGGACGACAAAGACAAAAGGCCGAAACTGAAATGGGAAGCCACACCTCCAGTACCTCATTTACCCTGGCGCAACTGCCATTGGGCAGGGACACTCTATTACAAGGCCAGTTCAACGGCTACAACTGGCGCCGCC